TCCTGCTGACCCCTGGGGGATCCTGCTGGCCCCTGGGGGGATCCTGCTGGCCCCTGGGGGATCCTCTGACCCCAGGGGGATCCCCCTGATCCCGGGGATCCTCTGACCCCGCTCGTGCTCCCCACAGAACGGGAACATCACGGAGCTGCTGCTGCGGGAGGGCTTTGCTCGCTGTGTGGATTGGTCCATCGCCGTCTACACCCGCGGCGCCGACAAACTGCGCGCGGCCGAGAGGTGGGGAGGGGATCCCGCTGATCCCAGTGATCCTGCTGATCCCTCTGGTCCCAACTGATCCCAGTGATCCTGCTGATCCCAGTGATCCTGCTGATCCCGCTGATCCCAGTGATCCCTGCTGATCCCTGCTGATCCCTGCTGATCCCAGTGATCCTGCTGATCCCACTGATCCCTGCTGATCCCAGTGATCCCGCTGATCCCTTTGGTCCCAACTGATCCCTCTGATCCCTCTGGTCCCAACTGATCCCACTGATCCCTGCTGATCCTGCTGATCCCGGCTGATCCCTGCTGATCCCAGTGATCCCGCTGATCCCTTTGGTCCCAACTGATCCCTCTGATCCCTCTGGTCCCAACTGATCCCGCTGATCCCTGCTGATCCTGCTGATCCTGCTGATCCCGGCTGATCCCTCTGATCCCTGCTGATCCCAGTCATCCCGCTGATCTCTCTGATCCCCGCTGATCCCAGTTGATCCCACTGATCCCACTGATCCCACCTGTATCCATGGGGTATCCAGAGCGACTCCAGCCCCCCCAGCCCCGTGTGGCTCCTCGGGGCTGGGATCACTGGGATCCCCTGGGATCACTGGGATCCCCTGGGATTGCTGGGATCCCCTGGGATTGCTGGGATCCCCTGGGATCCCCTGGATCTCTCTCGGGGCTGTTCCGTGTGTCCCAGCCCCGTGTGGCTGACCCGGGCTGTGATCACTGGGATCCCCTGGGGTCACTGGGATCCCCTGGGGTCACTGGGATCCCCTGGGATTGCTGGGATCCCCTGGGATCCCCTGGATCTCTCCCGGGGCTGTTGCGGGTGTCCCAGCCCCGTGTCCCCTGTCCCCACCCAGGTTTGCCAAGGAGCGCAAGCTGAGGATCTGGAGGGATTACGTGGCCCCCACGGCAAACCTGGACCAGAAGGACAAACAGTTCATGGCCAAGGTGAGCGGGGGAGGGGCTGGGGGGACCTTTGGGGATCTTTGGGGACCTTTGGGGACCTTTGGGGACCTTTGGGGGCCTTTGGGGATCTTTGGGGATCTTTGGGGGCCTTTGGGGCATAGGACGGTCCCCAGCTCTAGGGGGGAACAAGCCCCGCTGGATCCCTTGGCTGGATCCCAGTGATGGATCCCAGCAATGGATCCCAGCTGTGGATCCCAACTGTGGATCCCAACTGTGGGTCCCAGGACACTCGAGGCTGGAGAAGGGAAGGAGGAGCCCTGGGAGAGGTCTTGGCTCTGGGCAGGGACCGGGGGGGTCCCGGCACCTCACACCGGCCACGGGACCACGGGATCGGGTCTGCATCGATTCCCGATCCTCCGGGGGAGGGAATGGCTGCCCATGGATCCATTCCTGATCTCCCAGGGAATGGCTGCCCATGGATCCATTCCTGATCTCCCAGGGAATGGCTGCCCATGGATCCATTCCTGATCTCCCAGGGAATGGCTGCCCATGGATCCATTCCTGATCTCCCAGGGAATGGCTGCCCATGGATCCATTCCTGATCTCCCAGGGAATGGCTGCCCATGGATCCATTCCTGATCTCCCAGGGAATGGCTGCCCATGGATCCATTCCTGATCCTCCAGGGAATGGCTGCCCATGGATCCATTCCTGATCTCCCAGGGAATGGCTGCCCATGGATCCATTCCTGATCCTCCAGGGAATGGCTGCCCATGGATCCATTCCTGATCCTCCAGGGAATGGCTGCCCATGGATCCATTCCTGATCCTCCGGGGAATGGCTGCCCATGGATCCATTCCTGATCCTCCGGGGAAGGGAATGGCTGCCCATGGATCCATTCCTGATCCTCCGGGGAATGGCTGCCCATGGATCCATTCCTGATCCTCCGGGGCAGGGAATGGCTGCCCATGGATCCATTCCTGATCCTCCGGGGAATGGCTGCCCATGGATCCATTCCTGATCCTCCGGGGAATGGCTGCCCATGGATCCATTCCTGATCCTCCGGGGGAGGGAATGGCTGCCCATGGATCCATTCCTGATCTCCCAGGGAATGGCTGCCCATGGATCCATTCCTGATCTCCCAGGGAATGGCTGCCCATGGATCCATTCCTGATCCTCCCCAGGGAATGGCTGCCCATGGATCCATTCCCAATGTTCCCAAAGTCTGGAGATGCTGCTGAGCCCCGCTCCTGGTGGGTGCTGGTGTGTTCCATGTCCCTGGATTCCAGGGGATCCCTGTCCCTGGATTCCATGGGATCTCTGTCCCTGGATTCCATGGGGATCCCTCTCTGTGGATTCCATGGGGATCCCTGTCCCAGCACAGATCCGGAGGATCTGGAGGGAGGTGAAGCTGAGAGGGCTGATCCCAGGTGGGGTGATCCCGGTTGGGATGATCCCGGTTGGGATGATCCCGGTTGGGATGATCCAGGTTGGGATGATCCCGGTTGGGATGATCCAGGTTGGGATGATCCCGGTTGGGATGATCCCGGGTGGGATGATCCCGGTTGGGATGATCCCGGGTGGGATGATCCAGGTTGGGATGACGCTGGTTGGGATGATCCCGGTTGGGATGATCCCGGTTGGAATGATCCAGGTTGGGATGATCCCGGTTGGAATGATCCCGGTTGGGATGATCCCGGCTGTGATGATCCCGGCTGTGATGATCCCGGCTGGGATCCGTGAGCTGCGGGATCCGGGCAGGATCCGTGGATCAGCCCCACTAGATGGAGCTCCAGCCTCGCCCAGGCAGCGGCTCCGGAGCCGCTGGAATTTCCTGGGAATGCGCAGCAGCCGCATCCGACCCGATCCCTGTGCGGGGTCAGATCCGGCCCCGGGGCCTCCTTCCAGCCGCTCCGGTCCTGTCGGGATCGGGATCGGGATCGGGATCGGGATCGTGTCCGAGCTGCCCGGCCTCGCCCGGGGATCCATGGGAAGAGCAGGAATGGGATCAGGCCTGGCAGATCCCGGGGAGCAGCAGGAATGGGATCAGGCCTGGCAGATCCATGGGAAGAGCCGGAATGGGATCAGGCCTGGCAGATCCCGGAGAAGCTCTGG